CCACCGAAAACCTGGTCTGAACGCTAAGGGTTTATTGAACCGGTTTTTGCGTCATAATTCTGGGGTCACGGGGTCAGCATTCTGGCCGTGTGCGACCTCCAAGCTTTTTTGATCGCGCTGTTTAGACCGTTTCCACTGTTTTTCCACGGTTTCTCCATGGAGGTAAAAGAGCCTTTTTTCTACCTCCATGGTTTCTCTTCATTTATACGATGGAATCATCCAACGCAACCTGGTCGGTGGACGAGACGCTCCCGATACGTATTTTTGGAGAGCAGGAGTTGATCGCCGAATTCGAAAAAGCTGGGGGGAGGGCTCTATTGAGGTCTCTACCGAAACAAAAATGTTGGAGGAGCCTGGTAATGGCCGATTAACCGGATATTCGCTGGACAGGGTTTTTGAAAAACCGATTTGTAAGTCTGGTGTGAACGCGACGGGTTTTTGTCGGGTTAATTATTTAGCGGTTTCAACCGGTTTATATAAGTCTGGTATGAACAGGGTCATAGGTACCAACCGAACTACTGCGGTCACTCCGCCGGGACGAGAGATCTTCCTGTGTTTGGAAGAATAGTGCAGGCAATCAGCAAATGGCTGGGCTCACATGGACACACGTATCTGTATGACTCTTCCCTTACTCTACATGCTCGCACAATCATACTGTGATCTTCTCAACACTTATAACAAGCTTCTAAAAGGATATCCCCCAATACTTGTTGTTGGTATGCTTAAAATGATACAGTCATGCTAAATTTAAGACCAATTCACAGACAATTCTATCCACAAGAGAACATGCTGACAGGACAGTGACAGAGACGACAAGACAGTACACTTACTTCTTATTGATTAAAGAAAAGTTTGTTATAACTTAAGTGCTAAAGAGACAGGACTTGAATGGCTGATAATATAGACTAACCAGCTGCTCACTGTTGTAAGTAGTAAAATACTGAAGACAGGCTGACAAACTAACCAGTGTTTGTACTGTTGAGAAGTGAGCATGCTTTAAATATAATGTGCTCTACTGTGACTTGAAGGTATAACGTGACACAGCTATAGTATTAAAGTAGGTGGGTACGTGGTAATTATAACAAGTTACAGAATACACGTATACATGTACAAGGACAACCAGCTACACTACCATGACTGGGCCATGCTGCTAGAGTCATGTAGACTTTGTAGCTACTCATGCTTGTAACGTGTGGACATAAGACACGGCTGGTAAAGCTAACGACAAAACGGCACGGCTAGAATACGAACCGCGCTGCCCCAACGCTGCACAGGGGGGATCTGTGAGGCAGAGGAGTATGCATCCCAGGGCTGCAAAGGCATGGATTGGAACATCGTCAGCATCACAAGTCACACAACATAACCGGAGGGAAATCCACTGATAAAAGTCGTTTTAAAGGCATCCAATGTGATTTCAGGGCAGCAAAACTGGAAATATCCTGAATAAGGCAATCTTTGTGATATTGACACGATACTGCTTCACATTAGCACATTTGAATCAGTATTTCATATGTTGGGCTTTTAAAACTACAGAAACATGCCTCAAGATGAGTCTTTTATTTAATGGTTGGTTTCCTAAAAATCAGCCCAGGGCCCTTCCAGTAACCATTTTCCATCTGATAGATCTGATGATCAGAATTTTGGGTATTTTTGCTCCATGAGGGTCGATATACATTGAGATAGCGTGGTTTCGACTCAGTATGTAGATAAGTGACTAGAATATTGGCTTTGAAACATCACGTTTTCAAGCCTTAAAAACTGCACTGGATACCTTTAAAAAAGAAAACATGTAGCACTCCATAGCTCATGTTGTGGAACCTTGTTGAATCAACAATAGATCAGAGGGCTTGGCTAGAAATAACAGGGATAAGGTAACATATCTAATGTTATAATGGTATAAGGCTTGGCTAGCCTAAATCATTTGTTATAATACATATCAGTTCTTGGTCAAGTGCATGTAGGACTGTAACAGAGATCATTTTTCACATTCTCTATATGGTACACTGTCGGATAAGTGTCAAAGTCAGCATGCTTGTAGAATAAAACACAACATTAACAGTTGATATTAATGTTTTATGTATCATCACGATAAACTACGTATGTCCAAGCCGTACCCTATTCCGGGCTCCCTTCCACGAAAATATATCAGAGGCCTGAAAAAAAAAATTGAGGTTTAGAAAGAAATGCTGCACAAGGAATGGATTAATGGTTAATGTGCAAACGTTTCCAGTGATCATGCACACACCAACACACCGGTGTTCACCTGAAAATCTGTTAGAGATGAAAAAACTTAAGGCAAAAAATGAAAGATATCAATATAGACATACAATAGGTACAATTAGTTATCATGCTGGCAAACATGTATACTATAATTGTACTTGAAGTCAAGCACAAGTATACTTCTGCAAAACTGTATGTTCACTGTTAGTACACGTACATCATGAATGATCAGAAAATATGACCAGATATAAAATATTATCAAAATGGTCCCTTTCCTTATGTGAAGACTTTTGAGTATTCATAAGACTTGATATGACTCAGAATACATCCACTTGAAGGGAATCTTAAAGATATTTTTAACCAGTGTCTGTACATGCCACTCTTTATACTGCGATGTAAAATTCAGACACACAGTCATGCTAGTGTTACTGTAAGTTAGTGTAACTGTTACTACTAGCACACAGCACTGTTCATTCTCTAGAACTCACTGCACTTGTTGTTCTGGGTGCCGGTTCCTTGTACACTTTAAGGTACTACAGTAAAGAAATGACAGAATCCTAAGATCAGAACTACATGACTTAACACGAGTCAACAGAGTGACTTTGGAGTTAGGATGTCGAGAAAATTCTCAGACATAAAAAAAAACTGAGAAAGGCAATAGATTTGAAGAACGAAGTTTGCTAGTAAAAGAAGAGATGTATATAATCAAAGCAGGTTATTACGAGTGAAAAGTATGCCAGCAAGAATGAAATTGCTTAGGAGATGTACAACATGAGTTTTGGAGAAATCAACATATTACAGAACTTCCACATTCAATGTGTAAGTCTGTGTGTGACAGTCATATTTCCAAAATTTGACAAAACTGCCAGGAGCTTTCCAGGGCCAAAATGTTGTGTTTCCTGTTTCCTGACTGACCCCAGAAAAAACTGCCAACCCTAGCCTTTTTTGGGAGGTGGACCCCTGCAAGGGACATACATTTTTTTAACTGATTGACCATTTCTAGCTCCTTGATCTGACACCTGAGTGATGAAACGTTGTACAATCGGTTTTCCAACATTGACATTGAAAATATAAGTGTCCTCATTCAAGTTTTCCTTTGTTAAACTGTATTGTATAAGTTGGGATCATTGTACTACTAGGGATCATTGTGAAAGTGTAAAAAAAAGAAAGAAAAAAAGATAATCCCTACCTACCGACCCTAATTTTTTCAGGACTGAAACAGGAAACACAACATTATTTTCCTAGGCCCAATCAGTTTTTTTTAAAGTTGTACAACTCCTCTAACTGTTAGGAAAGTTGAGCAGTGAGTACCGACCCCCTGTCCCCCTCGCCATGACACCTCTGAACGCACATCCCAATCCTACAACACCGCAGCAGGTGGAGACAAAGCAGGGTGAGAACACATGGCAGGGTGAAACTTTTGGCACCGCCCCAGAGGCAGTGCCAAAATGTGGGGGGAAAAGACTGGGCTAAAGTAAGAAAACATCACAATGTTTCATTGTTAATGAATGAAAGTTTCGCTACATATAATTTATTAAAGAATCTACACGTCTACCAACAACAGTTCAATTGTTTTCTATGTTTCTACAGAATCATACTAAACTTGATGAAGCTACATGTATGTCTGCATGTTTGAGTACTTTTTTTCAAGAATCATGAATTTATTAATATTCATGCAAAACCTACATCGTTATCTCTGGCTGAGGAATAAGCAGAGTCCTACAGTAGACAGAAAAGAAGAGAAGATTTGAGACATGCTGAAAAGGAAAAATCATTTTCATGACAAAATTGGAAACAAAACAGAAATCAAGAACAAAGAGAAACAGGACAGATAAAAAGATGTTGAATTGAAATTCAGACACATTATGATTGAATATCTACAGTAATACTTACTGTAACTTTTTGATCATTTCTTTGAGGAAAAACATGAAAATCAAGAAGGAACAAAAAGGTACAAAACAGAAAGAAAGAAAGGATAAGCAAGCTTGGTTTTACCAACCCGATATCCACCTCCACGGCTACTGCTGCCTTCATACAGGCTAGCTGACGTCTGTTTAGGATGAGATAAACCCATCGTTTACTAATTACACAAAGAATTCAAAGCTACATAGACACATTAGAACATGACTGCAGTACACTGAAACAGTAATTCTTTCTGTTTCCTTGTTCGATAAACATCTGCTGTTGGCCACCACACAAAAAGAGTGCATGTCATAGTCTTCTGACTGTCAATAGTCTTTAGAATCAAGGAAAATATCAATCAATATCTTCATAGGCATTGGATTGCTATGCCTATACAGATACGTTTCTGATAATATGCTATCTTGCTGAGCTTTTTGTGCCCCGATGACTGTATATTGATTCACAACAGATGTTTGTTGACGTACAATATAATTTTAACCTGCAATGAGGTACACCGTCACGTATGGTGCAGTATGTATAACAATAATATATTGGTACACTTCATTTCAAACTTTAAAGTCAATGTCACATTTTATGTGGTATTAGTCTTAGATTTATGATAAATTATTGAAGCAGCTTACATTTATACTTAACTGATGATGACAAAGGAAATTACTTGTTAATTCTGTATATTGGGAGTATGTGCTGCTCTTTTGTAAGTTTAACAAGGTAAAAGTTATGTTCTGAGTTATTTTACATGATCACACTCTCTACACACCTGCCTCCTTGGGGTTGAATTGTAGACATAATCTGAGGCTGCCTGTATACAATAAATATGGGGGAACCATTCCATTCATATATACATGTTTAACACTACAGCAGAGTTCTGCAGAAATTGAATACTCAGATCATGCACACACCAAGGAGGGCCTGCAAGGGGGGGTAGTGATTACGAATTACGCAAAATTTTCGCCGCCTATTACGAATTACGTTAAAGTTTCAGAGCTGATTACGACTTTACGATTTGCGGCTAATGTCCAATAAAATTATTACGAATTACGTTGATTTTTGCAGAGGCTGCCTACAAATTACGAAGTCTAAAACGGCCTGATTACGCCTTACGAAAAAGGGCTTGCAGGCCCTCACCAAGGGAAGACACTGCATGGTCCTGACATTGCATTCCACAACTTCAACATAATTCTGTACACATACATCTAAACTACTGCCTACAATAGTCAAACATACATATGTATGCTTTTAAAACAAGAATAAGCACTAGTTCTAGTTTTAATTTAAAAAAAACTCATCTAATGCAGATTTTGGTATGGAGGCATTTAGTGTACATGTGCAAGCTAAACACCATTCATGCAGCTACAATTTGTGACTTTAAATTGAGTTAAGTTAATGATAAAAACGGCATACTGGTGGTACTTTATATTTTCCTAACAGTCATATTAAAAACTGTACAAACGCATCACTATATGAGGTTAGACTCAGTCCTGATTTAAGTGTACTTAATTAATGACAGCACGAAATTAATGATTGATAATTACAAGTTGATCACAACTTATGAAGCCATGAAATCATGATTTAGACTTTACATTAATTTTTCACAGTGCTTGAGACTATGTATGGGCATCTATTTTGTCTGTCTGACAGGCTGTCTTTGAATTCTGTGTCATCAAAATGTTATAACATACTGATTAAGACTGTTTATACTGTTTAGTGTTTATCAAAATGTTACATTTTCAATGAGAAATGGGAATATTACTAAGAACTTTTGTACCTGCAATATTATGACACAGATTCAGAGAAGACTGTCTTTGTATGTGTTAAAACATTATAAAAAGACATGGCTGATTTAGTTAGTCTCATGCAATGAAATATTATATTATATTTGACTGACAGTTAATTTTATGGTATTTTTTTCCCTATGGACACATCACACCACAGCAAGTTGATGTTATATATTTTGTTTTTGTGTGTATATATACCAACCGAAACACTGTGTCGAGAGGATAGCGCGGATGATCTCTATTATATGGGAGGAAGGCAAGAGCAAGGTGGAAGTTATATATGGTACATCAGGAACAGAGGTCAGACTTAGAAATGCAATGCACACTGCATCAGCTAGGAGGCGCTGCACATTCAATGCTGGGACAAGAATGTTTTCCAGCACACAAAAAAAAGCTCCATTTTTGATACCTGATTATTTTGCATATCCTTACTTGTGGAATAATGTGTAATAATACCAAGGAGGTTCCTCTGACTTCCTTGATGATACATGCCATTACTTATTTAGGCCATAGCATACATGTACAGCTTGCATGTATTGCTTTAAAAGGGACAAGAAAGAATGTAAAGCAAAAGGCAACAAAAACATGAAAGATTTAAGAGCATGGACAATATTACTGACCCCGCTTCGCATGGAGTAAACATCTGACCCCTGAGAAAAACAAAAACATAAACACAGTATATGTATATGTGAATAAGGTAAATTATAAGTGTGAAGAAGTGTTCATATGTAGCATGTAGTTGAAATTGAACATTAGATTTAATGACAAGGTGAATTCAAGGAAAGCTATCATTTATAAAATCAGATAGAAACAGAGGAAAAAAAAAGCACAGAAACAGAAGAAAAGTACAAACCGCAGAGCTGTATTTGCTGGACGGAGGTCTGGTCACAAAATCCCACGTCTACAAGATTACAAGAAGTGGGAAACACAGAAAAGAGAAATAAAGATATACATAAGACAAAAGAAATACACAAAAATAGGGAAACACTAAAGAAACACTTCATTTGCAGTACGGCTCACTGCTAGCATATATATATATTTCTTTTGAGACTTTGTGTGTGGATGTTTTCAGAAAATAGGTATCATATTTGAAGAAGTTTATCTTTTTTGCACTCATAGGTTACTAAGTTAACTCACTTCAGTTACATCTAAAACTAGAAACAGGAAAAACATTTTTGATAAAACTTTTAAAAGGTATTCTATTACATTCTTCTTGAGCTATGCATGGCTTTTGCTGAACATGACCAAAGCATGGCACACATGCTAGTCAAGGGCAATGTGACTGTTGTGGGAAGAAATGATTTTGCAAGCACAAAACTCACAGACGCAGCACCAGAGGAAGTGGTCGGTCTTCTAGTAAAGATCTCAGAACCAGTCACGGGACCGCGGTCAAAGAAAGATTTCTGTTGAGGATGGTGTGTGTAAGACCAGCGGTGAGAAGAAAGTTAGAGAAAAAGCAGTACAGAAAGGTTACATGGTGAAGAATGTAGAAAATATGTCAACTGAATTGTTATTTGTAGCAGAGGATATTAGCAATAAAATAAACTCTGGTAGCAACAAGGTGTTGCGTTATGTCTGTATGATTTCAAAATGTCATGAAAAATATTGATTATTTGAGTCCTCAGTAATGAGTTATGATATTGCAAAGCAAACAAAGATGTGCATCACTGTTGATGGGTAGAAGTATTATGTCTTCATCACTATACAATGGTAGAAATTCTTTCAATATTCTGCAATATTGTGCAATTCATAGAATACACTCTTTGCAAAGACACAAGCCTCCATACTACAACCTTCTCAACCCAATAATAGTAATAATTTGCAAAATTGCTGAATGTATTATTTTTCTTTTGCAATTTTGAAAATCTCTCTGCAAAATGCAGATGGGTATTTCAAACACTGTTAAAACACAAAATGTAGCAGGCTCCCTCTAAATATCTCTGTTCTAGGTTATACCTGAAATGTAGAACACTTGGGTGATTAGCAACCTGAGTGGACAATAAACAGAGCAGGTCAACACTGGCAACAAACCTACAGCCTTCCTCCTGCTGGTAAAGTGGCTGTTGATGGAGCAAAACTGGATCTGGGCAGCCAGATGGGGAG